TCTCTCTCTCTCTCTCTCTCTCTCTCTCTCTCTCTCTCTCTCTCTCTCTCTCTCTCTCTCTCTCTCTCTCTCTCTCTCTCTCTCTCTCTTGTTCTTCTCTCGTCTTTCGTCCCTCGTCTCGCCACCTGATCCATGCGCAAGGGAATGACTGGAATTGGCGTGGATTCGTTAAAATGTCTCTCGGTTGCACTGCTATGATGAATAACTAGAATTTCAGTGTGTTTCTCTCAACAATAATCGATGGCATTTAACGATTGTAAATTTTATGCGCGACCTTTGCTCGGCCGTCGCGACTTCGCATTAAAAATAAATTAAGAAGAAAGATGCCGAATATGATATTGAATACTGTGCCTTTCTATTTCGTTTCCATGAAACGAGCAACATCGAAAACAACCATGGATTAATAAGACGATTTTTTTGCTTTTACGAATTATCAATTTTTTTCTCCTCCTCCTTCTTCTTCTTCTTCTTCTTCTTCTTCTTCTTTTTTTCATTTTCATTTTTTCATTATTGTTATTATTATTATTCCCTTTTTTTCTTTTTTATTTTGAATAACAAAAACATCGTTGAACAGGGAATATCGTTTCACCCAACGATCAAGACAATGTCGCGCCTAAGTTAAATTTAGAGACTAATAATACCTCAGTCATTAGCGTTTTACATTAATGCGTTGAATTATAAACATGATGCAACATGCATTTCAACGAATCGTGATACCAGTTTGAAAGCAAAACAACGCGACACATTTACCAGACTCAACAAAACCAGACGAATGAATTATTAAGCCTCCGATTAATTAAATTATTTTCGAAGAATCATACACCGATCTCCATTCGCAATCTAAATTCGTACATTCGTCATACGCGTATGAAAACTTCTCTCTCGTACTACGACACAATTCTTGTCGTCCGATACACGGATCCCCGGGGGATCGGGATCGATAAATTAAACCTAACCGATCCATTTCTATCGCCAACGCATCGAACCACCAATCTCTGTGGCCCACCGCCACAGTCTCGTGTAACTTTCTACGCGTATCTCGTGGCAAGCGTGGTATCGCGCATCACATACGCACAATCACGTACACGTGGACGAATCGATCAAAGATTTATTCCACATCGATACGACGATGCGGAGCGGCATGTGTCCGCGTCTGGCCGCGACGCCGCGACCATGAATAATTTGATTCTGGTAATCAGGTCGAATATCGTGCGTCGTACGATTTCGAGTGGCGTATAGATATATTTTTTTTTTCTCTCTCTTTTTTTCGTATAAGCGTTTCGTTCGTCGAATTTAGACAGCCGTAGTACATCTGTCGACTATAATATCCATTGACTCGTAAGTAAGTATGTACCCCAACACTGTTGCGCGGAAACAGACGCGTGTAACCCGACGTGTTGCCGCCTGTGTGCGTGCACACGTATCACACATAGGGAATATATACTGGTCGCTAGTCTTAAAATAAGACCGGCCACCGCACCGTAATAAATTCTGCGTGCCTCCTCCTCCTCCTCCTCCTCCTCCACCACCACCACCACCCCTCTCTCGCGTATCGTGCGTGCGTGCGTGTGTGTCTCCTGACTTCCAAGTGTCAGCCGAGGAGAGAGATAGGGAGAGGTAGGGTGATAGAGAGGGGCAGGGTGGCGGAAGAGAGGAAAAAAGAAGAGTAGGAAGAGAAAAAGGAAGGAGAGAGAGAGAGAGGAAGAGAGAAAAGGAATAAAGTGAGTCACACGTCGGAGGGATCGAAAAGACGCGGCCACCCCTTCCCCTCCTCTTCTTCTTCGCCTTCGCCTTCGCCTCCAACCCTATCTTGTCGAGTGCGCACCAGAAGCACGCGCGTTACTTTATAAATGTGCTCGCCAGAAGATGTTGCTATATATGTTAGCGTGTAATTCAAGAATTCGAGCGGCGACACACTGCTCGCTCACGACACACGAAATCCGGAGAAAGCTGACGGAGAAATACACGAGGAGGAAAAGAAGGGGGAGGAGGAGGAGAGACGAAGTTCGTCTTTTTTTTTTTTTAATTCGGATATCGTGCCAGAAGGATGTGTCAGAAGGATGTACTTTGGCTTTTTAGCTTCTCCCGGTTTGTTTGGGGATATCATTGGGAGAAATTATTTTTTTCTTTTTCTTTTTTTTTTGTCTCTGGCCAAGCTGGATAAGTCGAATCCAGCTTTTGTTTACGATTTATTCGTGGACGAATACGGGAAGGAAGGAAAGATAGGGATAGGTGGTAGGTAGGTAGGTAGCGCTGATAAAGTGAACTCGCACAAAGTAATCGTGAAATATCCTCCAATATCGCGCAATTATTGTCGACGGGCAAACAACAGCCCCTTTGTTCGCGGTTTTTCTTTACCGCTGACTCACTGGATCAACAAAACGCGGCTTTTTCTCCCGACTGACATCCACACCCGCCCGCCCGTCCATCCTCTGATGTTTCTCGAAACATCGTTTTATTCCCGCCGGTTTCGCGACAATGCATTAACATTCTTTTATTATTCAACCGGATCCACGAAACGCGGTTTCGTTTTCCAGGGGACGCCTCGTCTCAACCTCCACTTCGTGTTTTATAACGTGGATATTACTCGCTGGAAATACTGAGCTGAATCATCCTGGTGGCAACGGACTCTCCAACAATTTTTCTTTCCCTTTCGGTTCAATTTAACTGGACGGATACCGGTACCACGATTTTTCGTTAATTTCGACAATCTCGCTTTCTCTCCACCATCCACCCACATATACGGTTCGAGATACTACACTATTGCTATTGAATAATACGCGATCGTACTATCGCACGTCATCCTTTCCCTGCCTACTCGAAGAATCGATCATCGAACCGGCTTCTCCACGTTTTCTCTCGTTCCAGACCGATTATTCATTTCCTTACGGTCATTGCATCACGCCGTGTTCCTAGAAACACCTAGTCGGCGCAAACAACCTTATCGGCAAATCTTATCGAAATCGTACACGTTTAAATTTAACCAACGGATAGATTAATCCATTCGTATCCCTCGCCACGCGAATAAATCAAAAACCTGTACTCGACCCACGGTTCACCCACCCGCCGCACACGAAATATCCCCTTTACGATACGCGCCACGATATATTAAATATTACATAGATTCCGTTTCTCTTTTTCTTCTTCTTCCTTTTTCCTTTTTTTCGACCAATTAATAAATCTGAATTTCCGCCACGGAGTAGAAACGCGTACGGTGAGGAGGAGGAGGAGGGGGGTTGTCACGAGCGTGAAATAGACGCGTGCACGTATAATTACGCTCGCCGTACACCTACGTCGCGTGGACATCGTGTAACGATCCGTTAATAACGTTACCGTTAACCACGCATTAGCGGTCACCGTGGCTATTTGCATATCGGATCGGTAATTTCCATCTGACGCCGGCGGGAGAAACGAGAGAGGAGAGAACGGCGCGGCGCGGTTGTGTACCACCGTGTTTGCGTGTAGGTGCCGTGATACATACCATGGGAGGATGTATTAAACGCTGTCTACTGCTAGGTGTACCCCTTGCTGCGGCCTCTACGCCACGCCATTACGGAGAATGTGCCCGGTGATTTATCCAACGCGGCCGAATCGAAACCGTCCTCCCGATCCTAAATGAATATATATATATTATACACACACGCGTACAGACACGGATTGAATTTAAAATGCGCGAAGATCAACCCGGCCGATAGCTGAAATAACAGTTACGTTCTCTCTGCTAACTATCAATTACACACGGTTTCGCGGACGGGTGGTGTGGGAACGTTGGAAGATTAGAAATGTGTGTATCTCTTGTATTTTTTCTTTCTTTCTTTCTTTCTTTCTTTCTTCTTTTTCTTTTTTTCTC